CTGCGGAATGCTCAGAAACCAGTTTATCCAATTCGGCCCGTAGCTGCTGCACCTCCTCATCCACACGTCGTTCCTCAGCGCATGAGCGACTCCAGTTGACTTGCTCACGCTTGAGTTCCTTGATCTCCCCTTGCAACAGTTCCTTTTCGTGCTTCTGCTGCTCTACGCTCTGCTCCAGCGTCTCCACCTGTTCCCTCAACCTTCTCGACTTTAACTCCTCCTTCAAGAGCTGTTGATGTGCTTTTGACAGCTGCTCCTCCATCTCTTTCCTATCCTCTTGAAGTACACGGATGATGCTCGCAGAGTTTTCGCTCTTGGACGCCAAACGCTGGAGGTCGTCCCGCTCATTTGTCACGCGACGCAGTTGTTCGCGAAGCTCATCGTAGTCAGGGGATATGTTCCCACCGGCACTCACACTTCGGCTCCTTACACCTGCAACTAATTCGGAGTGGTTGCCTTGCAGCATGGCCCGCACACGATCCCTTAAATCATCTAGAAGTGCAGTGAGCTCATCTTTCTTCTCCAGCAGCAGACCACTGAGCACAATGGTGTCTTCTACATTTACCGACTCTTCAGCTACGTTGCGCATAAAAGCCTCACGTGCTGCTCGGTTCTTTGTCTTGGAAGGGAGCTCCCTCACCGCACTAATGAGTTTTTTAGTCCGTGATGTTAAGCTGTCTTCGGAGATCTTCTGCAGAGTTTCGTCGATCACTTCCCTATTGACGACCGGATCCTGTGGAACAACGCTGGCCAGATCAAGAAATGCCGGCAGAAGCACGTTTCCCTCGAGCACCTTCAGGTACCCCAGCAGGTCCTGCACAACGTTCTCAAGCTGGTTGACAAGATAGCGGGCCGCCTCGGCGCGACGCACGGCCTTGTCCTTATTGTCCTCCGCGTACACGACCTCGTCGATCAGCTCGGCGAGATGCATCTCCCGCTTCTTGAGGTCATTGTCGAGGCGCTCAATCTTGTGGTACAGCACGTTCATCTCCGCCTCGTCGGACGGGAGTGCGGTGCAGCTCATGTTGGCCCTACAGCTACACGCAGCTGCGCAATTGTTGTGCGAGAGACATATGCCCACAGAGGCAATAAGAAAAAGCAGCAGGCAAGGAAGCAAAAGGCAAAAAAAAAGAAAGGAACTAAAAGAGACATGATTTGACAGCAATCAACACAACAGAAACGGGGAAAATACCTCCCTCCCTCCACACACACACACACACAGAAAGACAGATAAAAAAAAATAGCAACGAACCTCGACGAGGATAGAACACTCCGAGAACGTTAGTATGTGATCAGCGCCTCCCCGGCCTTCACGACATCGCCTGCCTTAACGGACAAGGAGGCGTGCTGTGGCACGTCAATGACTAGCACGACCGAGGACCCCCAGTAGAAGGTAGAGAGTGGAACTCCCTTACACAGCAGCGGATCACTGGCATACCGCCGGTGGACAGCATACTCTGGTGGGTTTAAGAAGTTTGTCTGAATGCGAGCGTCAAAGTGAATTGCGATGCGGCCTGTCAGAGTACCACCTACCAATGCCAGGCCGATATTGCTACCATTGCTGCTGCTACTGCTGCTTCTATTAGTTTCATTATTCCTGTTGTTGTCAGCTCGCCCTAAGAGGACCACTCGCTCGTTCAACGGGAGGAGCGAGGGAATCCAGTGATACCCCGCCGGGGTGTGCGGCAGCAGTGACCCAGGAATGTACGCGACTTCGCTACAGTTGAATGAGCACGGAGCGATCACATGATGATAGTCGCGCACGCGGAGGTGCACAACAATCGCCACACGTTTCTCTCCCTCCGCCACCGGCCCCATGTCGCGGTGGAGGAGCCGCCGTATACTGTACGTCATTCCTTTGACCTGAACCATCTGCTCTTCAACTACGTTGTCTTGAGCAGACAGCACAATTCCATCAGAGGGTGCAAGCACAGGAGCTGCCGCAAGTTTCCGCGCATCGCTCTTCCACTCCCTCACAAAGAAGTCTTGGAGTGTAGCGAACTCCTGCTGCTTCGCCTCGGACATGTCAATGCCGTACCACCACACAATGGCCTTGATGATGAGCCGGTGAAATGGTTCAGCAAAGTATGCACTCTCACTGAAGCGCCCAAATACATAGGAAAAGTAGTTGAAGGGAAGAAGAAGCATAAGTTCCAGCATGCCTGTGGAGCAAAGCCAATTGCCTTTCTCTGGGTGGCGCGCCGCCTCCCATGCGGCCAGCTGGTACCGCCCCCAGACATACGCCCCACCGCCCAGTACGGCGCCGCCAAACAAATAATGGTATACCCACCGCCGCATCGGATTGCTGCAGACCCTCGTGACATCATTCTTGTAAAAACAGAGCTTCCTTGTGAGTGCTGCCATGGCCTCACCTGCCCAGGTTTACGTGTGTATTTAAGTGTGTGTGTGTGTGGCCCACTGAACGAGCTCCAATCTATTTAGTTGCCTTGGAGAGCAGATACAAAACAGGAGCGCTGATCCACTTTGTGGGTGACAGGCATCAGCCGGTGACTCATACATCCGGCACAAGAAACAGAACGAGCGAGAAGTGCCATAATACTGGCATCTAGACAGATGCACAGCGCCTGCTCACCGTCACCAATCACCGTTGATGAATATTGATAGAGGAAGCATCCTCGTGTCGCTACTAAAAAAAAAAAAAATTATACAATCAAAAAGAGATAAAAATCATCATCAACAAAACCAAGAAAGATAGCGCCAATGAGCGTTTAGAGACCTTCCTTGCCAGCGTACCGCCTCACCACATCACTTGTGATTGGCCAAATACGCTGCTGGTCAACCTCGTTCAGGTGCACAAAACCACGAATGGTATGCGTGCAGTGCGGGGACCCGCACAGACACACAAAGGGCGTGTTCATCGTCCACTCCGTCGTGCAGTAGTTGAACGTCACCATTTCCCCCGCGGCGACGTTTCGGAGCGTCACAAATTCAAGTGCCTCTTCATCTTCGTGTACAACAACCTGTACGTTGGGGTCACAGTGATGGGCAATGCACTCCGCAGCATCCCCAAAGAGAAGGTGCTTACCCTCCCCGACACAGATAGTGTACATTGTGGGGAATGGCACGACGAGGCCTGTGACGTGGAAAAGCACTTCACCCTCCGAGATATCAGAAATAGCGTATGCGGTCTGCCCCATTTTACCATTTTGGCGAACCTCGATCAGCGGTGATGTAGACTTCACGATCCAATAATCACGCATGGCCTGCGCGCGCACTGGTGGCTCACATAAATAGAGCTTGCGCTGCTTTTTCACCTCTTCCATGTGACGGAACCCCTGCGCCTCCTTCGTGAAAGCACGTGGGAATAGGGATTTCATGTCGTACACGAACAAATTAATGTCGACTGTCAGTATCTCTCCCACATCCAAAGTGCGCATGGCAATGAAACGACCCTCCACAAAGACAGTAGTGGGGTCTTCCTTCTGCCGTATGATGTAGGTGTTTCCATCCAGGGCAACCTGTGTCGGCTGAATGTCCATGTCATGGCATTCCAAAAGCACCGTTCCACGTGTCACAGTGCTCGTCACCTGCAACATTCCCACCGCGTTGGCCTTAAGCGTGGATGGCAATTGGACAGTTGCACTCGTACCAGCCATCTGACGTATGGCAGGCGTGACCTGTCCTTGGAGAGCCAACCGCTGCGCGTTCGACAAAAACCTGAACCCGCGGATTTTCTGTAGGCAGTTAGGGCTCCGACACAAACATTGGAATGAGGAACGCAGCTCCCACTCTGTGGTAACATAGTTAAAGGTCACGAGTTCCCCACTTTCAATATCGCGTAGCGCTTCGAATTCGATTGTGTTGTTCACCGCATCTACACAAATGCGGATGTTCGGATCGCAGCTGTGTGTAAGGAACTGTGCACCACCAGAGAGTATGAGGTGCTTTCCTTCCTCCAGTTGTATTGTACCAGCTGTTGGGAACGTGAGACATGTACCCTTGATAGTCATAAAACGTGTGCCGGCGGATATATTCACAGCGGCAAACACCTCCATGCCAGTTTCACCATTATGTACCTCAATCAATGAACAACTGCATTTGGTGTTGTACCCATCTCGTATAGCCGCCACACGGACGCTGGGCTCAGTGAAAACCATGCGTGCATGTTGCTCCTCCTCTGTCAACCACTTGAACCCACGGACAGAATGTGAATGACTGAATCGGTTGCACCTGCACATGAACTCTTCTGGCATAGAGTAGCTAAGACAATTGAGATCCATAGTAAGCTCATCCCCAGCTGAGACAGCGCGAATTAACACAACTATGTTCTCAATGAGTGCCGCCGTCGGTGAACAGTGGTGACGAATACGCAATCCATCAAGATCGACAAATCCGTGTAAAACTTCAGCAGATAAAACCTTGATGAGACTTATCCCTTCCATCATATCATCGCTCATGTGAACCAGTCCAGCATCATCAACAAAGAGTCGCGTTGATGCAATCTGCATCCACGCATCTACGCCCTTTGCCGCTGTCGCAAGGGCTTTTATTGCTGGTGTTGCACTGCCCCATAGCTTCTGTCGTGCATAATTTCCCAGGTGCTTAAATCCCCGGATTTCACCGTAGCAGTGCGGCGCCCCACAGAGACATGTAAATGGGCTTTGCATATCCCACTCTGTTGTGAGGTAATTGAAGGAGACAAGCTCACCCTTTTTGATGTCGCGGAGTGCAATGCAGTCCAAACGTTTTCCCGTGCTGTCTGTTATAATACGAACGTTTGGATCACAGCTGTGCGCCAGACACTGAGCTCCATCAGCAAAAAGAAGGTGCTGATTATTGTCAAGGAGGATTGTATACACTGTTGCAAAAGGAAGGACGAGACCAGTCACCTCAAAAAAGCGAGTACCCTTCCGAATACTACTTTTTGCAAAGGTTGCTTGCCCCATGAGTCCGTTTGCTTTCACTTCCACCAACGAAGAGGAGCTTTGGATACAGTAGCCGTTGTTGACCGCCGCTGCCCGCACCTGAGGGTCTGCGCACAACATCGCCGCGTCCTTTTCGTCGTCTGAGAGGCCAGCGAAGCCTTTTACCTCACCAACGCAGTTTGGCGATCCACATGTGCATAGAAACGGAGATAGGTTGTAGACCAGATGGTTAATGTTGAGTGTCACAGCATCGCCCCTTAGAGACGCCCGAGATAGAACAACATGCCCTTCGAGCCAAACAGCAGTAGGATTACACGAGTGATTGATTCGAACATCATCCAGCACAATTTCGTTACCAACAACACTGAAGGTTGTCGCGTCGAAGAGTATCACACCAGACGACATGTCACTTGCCAGACGAAGTTTTCCTGAATGCTCGTGGAGATATACCAGAGAGCTGTCGAGGTTGGGCAGTGCGCTGCGGCGGTGCTGGGCGAAGAGGGATTTCACTCCTCTTGTTGCGTGAGCCCAAAGGCGTAACTGACTGCTTTCATCCAAGTGACGGAATCCCCGAATCACACCGTGGCACTTGACACTTCCACAAGAGCACTTAAACGGCGCGGCCATGTCCCACTCGGAGGTGAGATAGTTAAAGCTGACAATGTCGCCTGGTTGGATGTCGCGTGTAGCCACACAGCTGGCACTCCCATTCGTGGCGTCTACTGAGAGACGTGTATTGGGCTCACAGCTGTGCGCTAAGCACTGTGCACCGTCCGCAAATAAAAGGTGCTTGCCATCCCCCAGGAACACAGTGTATATGGTTGGAAACGACAAGACAAGACCCTTCAAGTGAAAGATGTGTGTTCCCTTTGAAATGAATTCCGTGGCATATGTAGCACGGCCCATTGACGGAATATGGGAAATCTTAACCAATGGGGTGGAGCTCTGCACAACGTAGCCGCGGCGAACCGCTTCAACAAGGACAGCGTGTTCCGTAAAAGGCATGAGGCGATTCTTTGCCTCGTCACTCAGACCCGAAAATCCCTCAACATTGCGGGTGCAGTTGACAGCACCACAGCAACAACCAAACGGTAGAGGCAACTCATAGAACAATGTGGATAGATTCAACGTGAGAGGGTCCCCAGCGAGAAGTGGGCGGGATGCCACCAACCGACCCTCCAGAAGAACCGTATTCGCATCACAACTGTGAGGGATGTGCAGATTATCAATGACAATCTCACGAGGACGCACACAAAAGCGGTCCACGCGAAACAACACCGTGCCAGATGCCACGTAGTGTTGCGCCGCCAGCTTTCCTTCAAAGGTAACTGACACTGCTGTAGTCTCCTTCAAGACTGTCAGTGAGGCGATGGAGGGAGGAGGTGCGTTGTATTTTTCCTGAATAGCAGCACTTGCATTCGGCAACAAATGCATCTGTTGTTCCGCGTCAAGATACTGGAAACCCCGAATGAAACCATAACATGAGTAAGTGTTACAGGCGCAGCGGAATGGCTGTGCAATATCCCACTCCGTGTAAAGGTAATTGCACGTCAGCCGTTCCCCTGCTTCTATGGGGCGGAGGGCAATGCCACGAATGGAGTCGCCGTCAATTTCAAGGCGGAGGTTCGGCTGGCAGGCGTGCCAAATGAACTCTGTACCGCCACTCAGGCGTAGGTGCTGCTCTCCAGGAAGCTCTATCGTGCTGCGCACCGCGAACGGCAGCAATAGACCTGTTGACGTAAACACAATGCTGTTCGTCTCGTGATGCCCAGACGACACCGTCACGAGGGTTGACTTTGAGGTGCACACAACGTCTATGCCGCTCTCACTGCGGTGTGGTATGAACCCGTCAGCAATTGCTTCTTGTCGCACTTTTTCATCCGCGTAAGTGTAGAGTCGCTGCTTTTCTGCTTCTGCGAGATTCTTGAAGCCCGGGAAGCGCAGTGTCTTTTGGTCTTCCGCGTCGTACACCAACGTGTTAAGGTCCACCGAGACCTCTTCGTCCTTTTCGAGAGCCCGCGTGGCGATGATGAAGCGGCTGATGATGGTGGCATTGAATTCCGCCCCATGCTTCACGCGTGATCCATTTGAAAGAATCAGCTCGTCAAGCTCGAGAAAGTAGTCTGGTGGAATAGGGCAAATAATCTCACCCGCCCTGAACGATGAAAGAGTCTTCATCCGTACCGATTTCTTTCTGAAACAACCACAAAAAAAAAAA